ATCTAGGTGAAAGAATCCTTTTGGAAGCAATGCTAAGGGAAGGCTAAGAGCGTCGTAAAGCCTAGTTATATCATTTTTGTAAAACTCAACTACAAGTCCTAACACCCCTTAAGCAACATAAAGTGAGTAAATTCTGAATAAAAAAAAACAGTGTAGAAACCTAATCAGATGTAGTAAGGCCTAACCCACCCCTTAATGGCCCCTAACGATAAGCAGACATGCATATATTTAAATGAAACCAAATTTAGCAGGCAATTTATTCTATGTAGTATAGCAAAAGTTACATCTTTTTATTACAAACCTGTGATTTAGCATCGTTTAAATTTGCCAAGTAGGATTAAATAGAGAAGCAGATAAGCTGGGACAAGCAAAAATTTATGGTTTGGATGTGGAGAAATGAAAATGTATGTGCTTTGTTAACATGGAAGTGTTGACAGCTTAAGCTACGTAAGCATTGTCTAAGACTCATAATACAAGTCATGAGAATATAACAAGCACACAGAATAAGAAGGAAATAGAAACAAATGAATAGGAATTCTGCAAGAAACTAGGTCAACACAAAATGAAGGCAGAGATAAGACAACGAATTTCAACTACGACTATGAAAATGATTCTAGGAAAATATTCTTGATTATTCATATGACTCGGACATTGATTATGAAGTAATAATTAAAGGATACTTAAAAGACCCTAAAACTCTGTTATTTGCGGAAGATTTATCGTCAAAACCAAGTAGAGGTAAAGAAAACAGTCAATAGAAATGTACTTTAGCAACAGCTGTCTTCGTAGTGTGGCGTTGTGAGTTCCTGTGACTACGTCTTGGAATTGCAGCATCAGCAGCAGCGAATTTAGCCAAGGGAATATCTGGACCAGGCCGGCGACAGCTGAGACTTCGACCTCTCCCATTAGCCTGAATAGAGGCCCCAAAAGCTCCAGGAGCGCACGACAAACTTGTTTCACCAACTGAAGCAGCGTTAGGATAGGTACAAGCTGCTGTTAGCGAGGTAGCAGCGTCATCGCAGCCTACCATAGCAAATGTATCCGGTGATTGTGCGGAGCCAGGCCGACTAGGAAAGCCGGAGCCAGGAGGTATTTCAGAGATGCCTATAGCATTTGGTACCAATGGGCCGCCGACAAAAGAATGTGCAACCGACTTCGTACCTGGCTCACTAGCCGTATTCGTAGAGATACTGCTTCGAAAGCGCGAATCTGGAGAAAAAACCGTAAGGGGTATATTAAAAAGTTGTACTGGCCTGAAATAAAGTAGCTAGAGATCTTAGGTTTTAAAGCCCATTGGCAAAACTTTGGGCATATGAATAGTTTGTAATAATACAGAGAAGAGAGGCAATATGTTTAAAGCTAAGTGATAGCAGAAGAGGAAGAGTTATC